AATATATAGCCTCTCTGTAAAGGGAAATAAAAAGGGAAAGGATTAATGGAGTTATAGGTACACATCTATGTATGTAATGTCATGAACATGATAGCAAAAAGGATTTACAAAGTGTACAATGCACATGTATTGTAAACTTTGCATATCATGAATGCAGCAAAAAAGAGTTGCAATGTAATAGCAAAAAAGAGATATTCATGAGAAAAAAGGAGAGAGAGTAGTACTAACCACTTACCCACCAATCCTTATTTAGTTTTGTGACTACAACGATTTTGTCTCCTTCGCTAAAGGCAAGCTCATCAGGTCTATCTGGTACACAGTTATAAATTGCTTCTACTACGACTGTAGTTGTTGGAACTGGGGGAGGAGTGGAGGGGGGCTAGAGAGAAGAAAGAGAGTACATTAAGGAGTACATATACATTGGTATTCTTACCAATTTTGGTCCTTCTTCTTCAACAGGTGCTGGGCCCATCATAGTTTGTCTTTTCTTTCTTTTAGGAACAACAGGAACACTAGTAGGACTGGAGAAAGAGAGAGAGAGAGAGAAGAGAGAGAGAGAGAAGAGAGAGAGTAGAGACAGTCCACATGTGTACATGATTTGCATGCATTGGATATATCACATTGTGTTTTTGTAATGCAAAGTTCAATTCTCCTTTACCTCAATGGTAGTGGGTTTGTTTCACGAGAGACAGTACGAAGGGGTGGGGGAGGGGCAGGCTCAGAAGGAGGAGGATAGAGATTAGGTTGCTGAGGAACAAAAGGTTGTTTGGTTCCTCCATCTCCTCCTCCTTTACCTCTGACATCAATCAACTGTGACAATGGTCTCCTCGGAGAATGACCTCTTGACGCTAGTCTGGGAGAAGCACTGGATAGCCCGCCTAAACAAAAGTATAAGTATTATCAGGAGCCCATGATGGAAACTGTAATGATGCATGTACATGCATGTACATGCATGTACATACTGTATGTAAGGTACATATACATGTACATGTACATGTATTATAAAATTAATTTTAGGGGGAAATAATAAATTTAAATTTTTTCCGAAAATATTTTTAAAGTTGCTCCAAAACTGGCGAATTACAGTATACTGAACATGTACATGTACATTATTTTACATGACAATTTTAAAATCAAATTAATCTCTAAATGAGGCATCGCCTACGTATACTGAGAAATTTACATGTACATGCACATGTACATGTACATGTACATACTAACCAGTAGATAATAATGGTAGACCCAAATTCTTCTCCATTGATCCGTTTCCGACTCCACCTCCAACTATGTTATCTTCTGTCTCACTTCGTTTCATTCCGCCATTACCTGACCCGTGACCCAAGTCAACTGGAGTCTGATAGATGGACTCATTCTCACAGTCTCCATTACTCACTCCCCAGTCTATATCAATGTGCTCACATTTTGAGTATTTCTTTTTGGAGGCATCTTGCAACTGAGTGAGAGAGGGAGGGAGGAGAGAGAGGGGGAGGGAGGAGAGAGAGGGGGAGGGAGGAGAGAGAGGGGTGGAGGGAGGGAGAGAGGAGGAGGGAGAGAGAGTGAGGGAGGGAGAGAGAGAGGGAGGGAGGAGAGAGAAAGGGGGAGGGAGAGAGAGGGGGGAGTGAGGGAGGAAAAAATAGGAAAAAAGAGTGAGAGAGAGGATCAAGTAAAGAAAGAAAATGTGGTGAAGGAGAATGAAATGAGAGAAGACAGGTGAAGGATGTTTAGAAGATAAAAGCAATACAGTGTGTGTGTGTGTGTGTGTGTGTGCATGTGTGCGTGACTGCGTGTGTGTGTGTGTGCGTGTGGTGACATTAATGACTCACCAGTTCAATGCAATCATCAAACTTCTTCTCTTCAGCAATATCCAATGGAGTCTGATCATTTTTATTCTCTGATAAAGAAAGAGAAAAATACATTTAGAATTAGAGTACATGTACATGTACATGTACAGCAACAAAATGTACATGTACATGTAAAATCCCAAATTTTATTTCCCCAAGGATTAGGCCTAACATGTCATAGTCATGATTATGTTGTATTTGCAAAAAATGTCTAGTCCCATTACAACTCACTGATGTTAGGGTTAGCATTGTGGTTCAGTAGCAGTTTAATACACTGTGGGTTATCAGTCAGTGTTGCAATGTGTAATGGAGTGTTCCCCTCCTCTTCATCAGGGACATTCTCAGTTCTACTGTTACCGAGAATGAAGTCAACCATATGAAGCGAAGTGAGATCTTCTTGCTCAATGGCTAAGTGAATCGCTGATCGACCACAAATTAACATTGACTTTAAATCAGCACCTTCAGCATAGACCTAGAATGTACAAGTACATGTACATGACTACATGTATAAATGCATACAAAATTAATGTAAACTTTGCTAACCTGAAGGAGATGCTTGATATCTCTTAGCTCAATTGCTTCCAGTAGCTCCTGGCTCAATACTGAAGGGTCCACCTGGTGCTCTATGTACTTTCTATTAGTGTACTTCTCAACAATAAAGTGACGTCGTGTTTCACTAAAAAAAATTACAAAATTAATTTGTCGCTTCTTGCAACTCTTGAGTTTTGCTAAAAATCTCTCCTTACATGTCAGAATCAGGTGATGGTTTAGGATCAGTTAGATTAGCCTCCATTACTTCATTGAGCACTGAATTACCCATCACTCGTGCTATCTAAAAAATACATACATACAGTACATGCACATGTACATGTACATACAATTTCTTAAAATGGATACAACAACACTACTGTACACACATGTAACCATTAGAGGGCTCACTAGTAGTTCGGATGTTTTCAGAGCATCCAATTTAAGTGATCGAATGCGTGAATACTGGACACCCAGTTCCCTGTGCCGCCCGGAGCAATGAATGCATATCAGTAGACCAAGATTGACCGATAGCCACTCAGGATCAGGGGCATTGCACTCACAGCATCTATCATTACCTGATGGGAAGTAAGTAAAATGTAAGTACATGTATGTACATGTAGATATACATTACCTAATGGGAAGTAAGTAAAATACATCTACATGTACTTGTACATGTACTTGTACTTGTACATGTACTTGTACTTGTACATGTACATGTACAAGATAAATATTTCAAATAATAAAGCTCTCATTGGTGGTGCAATATATATTCAATCACTGATAAATTTACATAAAGGAACATGCTTAATTTTTCAACCTTACATGTACATGTGGTATATGTACAATCATATGACAATTTACCTGGCAGGAACTGTATTTTTGATATTATTCTCTTCACAAGTTGTCTGGTATCGGTAGCAGTGGTGGGTGGGGATAGTGATCTATTGTCTGCTTTGGTGGGTGTGATTGTGTCACCTCCAAATAACTCCAGCTGACAGTTTGTCATTACTTGCCGCCATCTTGAAAGGGGTGTGGTTATAAAGTGAGGGGCGGGGTGGTTTATAACTTACGACTCTAGTTCCGCTTCTGTTTCAGCATCAAATGAGTATACCCTGGTTTCTGTAAAGGATGAGAGGGAGAAATAAGGACAGAAAGAAAAAACAAAATGATACACTATACCACAAAAATAGAGAACTACTGTATAGGTACATCGCACATAATAATAATAATATGGTAATAACAACAATAACAATAATAATTAAAAACCCAGTAATAATGAAAGATAAACTAAACGTCATTACTGCATAGCATTATGTACACCTTCAAACTATAGGATTGTACTGGGCAGATGTACATGTATATATTGGATACAAGGCACGGTGTACATGTACATGTACATTATAGACATGCAAACATTCCAGTTCGCATATATTTTTATAAGAATAACATAAACAATAACAAATGAAAATAGAGTAAGAGGCATAATTCATATACATGTAAACATGTACATGTACATGTACTGTAATAATACATGTAGTGTATGGGAGAAAATAATCTTAGAAAGTACATGTATAGGACTGTACACGAGGTTTCTCACAAAGCATGTTAAGTGAACTTTTAAAGAGGATGCTTCATGAGATGACTAGCACTACAATACATGTATGCAATACAGTACGTGGCTTTTGGAGCAACTTTAAAAATTCGTAAAAAATCCAAATTTGATCGGAATGAGCTCAAACTTGATATACAACATAAGGACATGTATATGTATCAGAAAATATTATAAAAATGAAGAATTCTCTCCTAGTCATTTTTCATAAAATTTGGTCGACGACCCTGTACTATAGTACAGGGTCGTCAGCCAGATTTTGGAGCAACCTTTAAAAATTCGTAAAAAATCCAAATTTGATCGGAATTGGCTCAAACTTGATATACAACATAAGGACATGTATTTGCATCAGAAAAAATTATAAAAATGAAGAATTCTCTCCTAGTCATTTTTGTCAAAATACCCTGTACTACATATACATGGTGCTATATTTCGTCCAATTTTTGAGCAACGTGACAATTGACTGACAAGAAGCTGCATGAGCACTATCCTGTAGGAAACCTTGACAATACATTGTACATCCAGGTCATCAAAATAGGAAAAAGACATGTACATGTACATGCATGTGTTTAAATGCAACATACGTGCTTGAAGTTTAAAGCAGTACTTTCTTCCATCAACCTCTCCTGGATCCTTAAACTGAAACAGCATCACTGGTATCCTAACATGAGGGGCGTGAGTCTAAACGTACAAATAAATCACAAAATAAAAAATATATATACAATCCATCATTTAGTACATGTAAATGTAAAATAATTATCAACGTAAACATGCACATGACTACATGTACATACATATGCAAATTATGAATAGTATACTAACAAACATAAATTTTTTGGTGCCAAATACATTTACATGTATACATGTACATTGCGTACATGTACCATATAAATGTACATTATGTACACTAGCTGCAATGGTGTATATGTATGCACTCACATGACTGTGTGCCATTGTGAATCCATTCTTTGATACAGTGCAGTATCTCTTAGGCCACTGCCTCCTCGTCAGTCTTAATACATTCTCAGGTTTCTTAGCAAGGTACCCGGACTTCTCCGTCTGTCCTGTGATGGCCGCTGGGTCTACTTGAGTGATGCCTGCACTGCTGGGGTCAATGCCGAGATCCTTTCGAATCTTTTCCTTGACTGCCATGAGCCGCTTCTTCTCTTTGTCATTTTTAGAACGAATCTGGAGGGAGGGAGGGAAAGAGAATTTAGACAAAAGAGAGAAGGAGAAAGAGGGACAGGAAAAGAGAGTACATGTACATTTGTACATGAAAGACATGAAAGGAAGAAATAATCACTAACAGATAAACATGTGTACATGTACGTGAATGTGTATATTGATCAATGCCAAAGATTAATCAGCTTGAATGAAAGGCCGTCAAGACGAAAGCACTCCAATCATCTCCCCCTCTCTCTCCCCCTCCTCCTCTTTGTTTTACATTATTAGATTTGACTATCATTCTTTAGCATTGCAGACATCATTAGAGCCCAAGGATATTATGATAGTGGATAGGATTATAGTACCAGGAGAGACTAATAAAGCAAGTGTTGTAATAATTACACATCAGTATTTACACTAACACAAGTCACACTATTCCCTTGTGGAAATTGCCAACACTCAATATACTAAAATATACTGGAGTATACCGAAGTATACTAGCAGTAATTACTGCAGTACTAGCTCATTAGTGAGAGCGTGAGCTTATGTTCTAGTACATCTACAACACAAGTACATAATTACAGTGCAACGGACCATTTAGGGACAAGGGGTAGGGAAGGATGATCATAAAAGCAGTTAAGAGAATTGGAGGAAAGAGTATAGCTCTACAAACATACCTCAGATAATTGGGATGTTAACTTAGTTTCCCATTGCTCCATTGCAAGCAATAACTTGCTACCATCTTTGAAATAACTAAAAAAGAGACGGAGGGAGGAAAGAGAGAGGGAAGATAGAAAAAGATGGAGGAAGAGAGAGAGAAAGAGGGAGGAGGAGAGAAGGATGTGATTCAATTATCATGTATGGATATTAATGCTCACCTCTCTTGAGCACTTTGATAATAGCCAACCAAATGATCAGCAAAATCAATACCACGTTTATTCCTCACATCCAAAACCTTCAATAAATACTAAAAGAGGAGGAGAAAGAAGTTTTTCAAGTGTTAAAATAAATATAACATCCTTTCTTACATCACAGACTCCTAGTTGAAACTTTCTTCTATCGGGGACAAGCTTCCCAGCTAACTATTGTACAGTGATGGAATAGTGAAACAAAAACAATAAGTAAAAAAATAACGAGAAGGCAAATGTATATGTACATGTTACTACAATGTACATGTAGACTGAAAATGTAGACTGAAAATGTTGTCTGTGACAAAATCAAAAATAATTGTAAGTCACTATACATGCAGACTGATGCAGTGTACATGAGGTAGCTCATCCATTAATGAAACAATAAATTTATAAATGTACGGTAAATTTCTGCATGCATGTACATGTACACATGTACATGTACATATGTGTACATGTACATACATGTACATGTACTCAGTACCTCCTCAGCAGAGAACACTTTGTCCTGAGGATTGAGTCCCAGTTGTTGCAAGACTCTCTTTTCTTCTTTTTCCGTTTGGTTTCTTGACGTCTCGTACTGGCTATGCAAGTTGTTAATGTTGCTCTTGTATTTTGCCTGTGGGTGGAGTCAATGGGTGTGGCTAGCTGTGAACTGATGCTACTTACGCCTTTCAGTTCGCTCTCAAAGAGAAGATTGAGTGAATAGAAGAGCATGCTTTTAGTGGAAGACATCTTGTGGTTGAGAGAGAGAGAGAGAAAGGAAGAAAGAAGTGGAAGAGATATGACATTATTGAGTCTACAATCATTTAAGAATAACTTACCAGGTTTCCAAGGAGAGATGCCATTTGCTAATAGATAAGATACAGAAAGTATACATGTACATGTTACATAGCAAATATTTAATATAAATAGAGAGGAGAGAGAGAGAAAGAGAGAGAGAGAGGGGGGGGGAGGAAGGGAGGGAGGGAGGGAGAGAGAGTGTGTGAGAGAGTGTGTGTGAGAGAGAGAGAGAGTGAGAGAGAGAGGTACATGTGCATGTACATGTAAAGAAAGAGAGGAAGAGAGTAAGGGACAGACTGCATGACTTACATTGAAGAGCATTCCAAATTTGACAAAGGCATTACCTACAAACATAGACATGGAATCAAAATAATGAATATCTTTATACAAGTGGATGGAAACCATGATTCATGAGAAGAGTGTATAAATCAAGAGAGACAGAGAGATAAGGAGGAGAGCATTACAAGATATAAACAGACGGTTTGCAGTACAGGAGGAATTGCAATAATAGAGAGTGTTGATAATATGAAAAGACAAACCATTGTGGACTAACAGTATACAGCTGTCACACTGGAACATGCATCTCAGACTAATTGCCAAAACATTCTCCTCTCTCTTTCTCACTAACTCTCCCCCCCTCTCTCTCTCACTCTTACTCTATTTCTTTACCTATCTCTGGTTCTGTGGCTGATGTTGCTGTTCCAAACTTGACCAGATCATCTGCAAAAGCAGTGACAGCTGAGCCATGGACTAAAGAGAGAGAGAGAGAGAGAGGATAAGAGACAATACGTAAACAAAAACATAAAATAAACAATAATGAGGGAGAGACTGAAAGTAGTTTCATGACAATGATAGGATACGTTATGAGAGTCTCTTACTTTCTCCTGTCCTAATGACCTCTTTTAGTGTATTTGTCAGCTTTCTGACATAGCTCTTGTCACTGGAGAGACACTGGGGGCAGGGAAATGAAGACTAATAATTGAGTATTCTCTCCCTACACTTTCTTTCTACCCTCAATCCACCACTCAGTGTTCTCTCTCCTCTCCACTCTCTCTCTCACTTCTTCCAGAGATTGTATTTCTCTCTTAATCTTGGGCATGCTCGATTGAAATTGGGACTGGTTCGGGGCAGAGAAGTCATCGTCCACAGAGCGAATGAAAGCGTCCAAGCATAAGGTCACCTTAGAGTCAGGGCCAATATTGAGAGCCATGGCAAAGGATATGGAGGGAAGGAGGGAGAGGGGGAAACAGAGCAGTCTCTCCTCTCTGAGATCTGATTGACTGATTCTGAAAAATCGGAAAAAATTAAATTAGGCTACTAGTTAATTAAGTAATCAATAGTTATTGAAAACAGTTAAATAAACTCTAAACCCACGTGTAGTCTCATAAAGAAAGGGCATTAGAAATGGCTTATTCTCTTGATCCTGGGACTTGGCTCGAAAGACAGAAATACGAACAGGCTGAAGCTAGAGCAGAAGAATATACTGCAAGCAGTCACTCTGGACTTAAAGTCGAGGTACATCAACTCACTCAGTAATTATCACCCCCATTCATTCATTGTCCTTCACCACAAAACACCCACTCTCTTTGTAAAGGGTAAAGCAATCAGCATTGATCTAAGTTCTGGTGGCTCGGAGATTCGTGATTTCATCAACGAAACAAAGTCGAGGATTGAGCAGAGTCTCAAGAAAGTTCCTCAAAGCGAAGTATGATACGACACTTTAATTAATAATGTTATTAAGAGTTTTTACTACAGTCGGCAAAACCCGGAAGTCAAAATTTGGAAGCACGAGTGGCGAAATTGGAAGCAGAAAATAAAACTTTAGCGGAAAGTATGTGGTGGAATTTTGTAATTATTTTTTATTACTGTGATATTGATTTTTTAAGGAGTGGCGAAATTGGAAAAAGCAATTGGCGTGGCACCAGAGGTAAGAGATAAAACTATTAGAATAACCAAAATTCATGTCCTCATACAACAAAATGGATGTGGTTCTTAATTTCTTATTGAATTAATTTGTTAATTATTATTATTCATTTATTACAAATAGCCCAAGAAGGAAGAAGTAATTACTACAAAAGAGGCCAAAGATGACGACGATGATGATTTTGATCTTTTTGGCTCAGACGATGTTAGTTACATGTACATGTACTTGTAGGAATCATTAAAAATATTACATCTTTAGGAGGAAGAAATAGCAGCTGCTGAGAAGCGTAAGGAAGAGGCTCTGGCAGCCTACAAAGCAAAGAAAGAGAAAAGTACAGTGATACATGCACCTTTAACAACCAATTCATAATATTTAATAACAGAGCCACAGATTATTGCAAAGTCAAGCATTATCCTAGAAGTTAAGCCGGTGAGTTTTAAAAATTTCATTCTATAAATATTTTATGATTCTTTTCTTATAGTGGGATGATGAAACAGGTAAGTCTGGTTGTAGATGTGTCATATGGCATCGTGTGTGTTTAATTACTGGTAGATATGAAGGAGCTTGAGCGTTGTGTACGTAGTATTGAAGCTGATGGGCTCCAATGGAAAGCATGTAAGAGCTGTACTCCAATCTCTCTCTTGCTTTATCTTCATCTTCTCATAGCTAAACTGGTCCCAGTGGCTTATGGTGTTTTAAAGCTTCAAATAAACTGTGTAGTTGAAGATGATAAAATTGGAACGGATTTCCTTGAAGAAGAAATCACCAAATTTGAGGATTTAGTAAGACAATGGTGTCCTCATTCTTACTCCTTCCCTCTCTCTCCTATTTCTCTCACTAGGTTCAAAGTGTTGATATTGCTGCTTTTAATAAACTCTAATCTACTCCCTCTCCCAATTGTGACTTTAATAATGTAGTAATGATTATTAATTATTATTATCATGTGATTTTAGTAGCTCCTAACATTGAAGATGGCGGTGCATTGGTTAGTCTTTCCCTTTGCTGTCTCTGTGCCTCAATGGCCTCTTGTCTTTGTTTCCTCATGCTCTGTCTTGACTGACGTAGCAGTTCCGGAAGGTCGTCTCCCTCCCATCCATTCTCTCCCCCTCTCTCATCTTGTTCTTCATCAGGCCAGTCTAATAGTTCAGAGGTTGCCTGGAGAGAGAGAGAGAGAGGGGGGGGGAGGGGAAGGGGAGGGGGAGAGAGAGGGGGAGGGGAGGGGGAGAGGGGAGGGGAGGGGGAGGGGAGGGGGAGAGAGAGGGGGAGGGGGAGAGAGAGAGAGAGAGAGAGGGAGAGAGAGAGAGAGAGAGAAAGAGAGAGAGAGAGAGAGGGAGAGAGAGAGAGAGAGTGTGTGTGTGTGTGTGTGTGTGTGGATGTTATTATTCTTTATATCTGAGCCTAGTCCATATGTTAGACAAAATATTTGCATTATTTCTTAAAATAGCATTGCATGGTCTTTGCAACACCAAAAAAGTAGATGTATACATAAACATATAGGAGATTATAAGAAAACAATGGCATTCACCATTGTTATTATTCTTTAAAAAGGGACTCTTTAATACTTACTGTTTGAAAGGCTGGATCAAAGGCAAACTGTTTGAGGTTTGGAGTAGCCTCTTCAAAATCTCTCCTTTGCTTCTTAATCCTAATCTATGGATAAGAGGATGTACAGAATTATTGATAAATACACACATCCAGCAAGAGGGTAAACATTGTGACTTAAAAATTATAAACATGGCAATACTTTATACAAAATAAAACCATACTCTTGATAAAACACGTTATGACCCAACAGATGGGAAAGTACTGCTAGCAATTTCAATTAAGCCTCTTGCCATTAAAATTTACAGTTTGTCTAAGGATAATGCTATTATTTTTGTTTCTAGTTTTGGTTATATAGTACAAGTACCAGTTGAAGCATGGGAGAGAAAGGAGTTACTGTATATCTTTCTGTCCTTTCAATTTCAATGTCTCAGTTATTAGGAAATGAAGGTGTAGCAATTAAGCATGCATTTATGGGATTCATAAGAACACGTATATGAATGTAATATCAAGACAATGGACATCCAATAATTGAGTATATTCATTAGGACAACCAATCAGGTGTAATTGAGCTATGAAAATATTGAATTTTAATCGCAATTACCAATTTTGGCATAATGTTACTTATAGTCTAACACTAATGTAGGTCTTTGGCCCGATTTTGGATCAACTTTAAAATTTGAAAAAAAAATTCAAATTTGATCAGATTGATATAACAATTAGATATAATTATACTCCTACCACCACCGTCCTCACTTTTTTCGGTTTTTGAAAATTTGGTTCCATGTCACGGAACAGATCAGGAATCTCTTCATCTTGGGGTGTGGCCTGAGGTGAAGGAGGAACTGGTCCCTCTTCCACTTTTACTCCCTCCCACCCATCCCAATCAGTCTAAAGTGGGAGGGGCTAGTAATTAAATGGCTTCATTGGCATTATTTCAATACCGTCCATTGTTTCTCAGTTTCTACAGGTTTTTCTCTTTCCCCTACAATATTCTTGCCTCTTTCATCTTTTCTCCCGCAAATAAATCGAGCCCCTTTCACCAACCATATCCACAAAAGCATTAACAGGTTACCTATAATTCTGAGCATCACGTGATGACGATTGTCTAGTCACGTGGGTGAACGGTTGTAGCCATGGCAACCAAGCAACACGATGATCTTCCCTAGCGACCAGTAAAGTGAAAACTGAGCCATTTTACATGCAGAGATGACTCTGAAAGGTAAGGACAAAGCGTTTCCATAATAGTACTATTACTTTTTATTTGCAGAAGCAGTACGGCATATTGATCAGATTTCAAAAGCAAAGCCAATACCAGAAGGTTTCTTGGAAGACAGGTCAGTCTGAGGACACTAACACTTATCATGGTATGAGTGATTGCATTGTTTAGGAGGTCTGTGTACTGGAGGAGTGGTATACTGCCTAAAGATTACTCCAAAACAACTGAATTTGGTAAATTTAATGAATTTTTATCAACAATCATGCCTGCCATGATATTATTTTAACTATGATAATTTGTTTCCTTTATTTTCATAGCACTAACTCCAAGACTTTCAGAATTATCAAGGCCTAAAACTCCTCACAAGTATTACGTTCCAGATAGGCCTACTCCAAAATGGGACATTAACCCAGCAGCACTTGTCACCTCTAGCACTCCTCGACTAAACGAACTAGCAAGACACAAGACACTACCACCAGAATACAAGCCACCAAGACCAGTATGCTCTCACTCACACACACACACACTTTATGAATGCATTCAAGTTGCAATTTTAACATAATTTTAGTGCAAAACTGACAAAATTTATGATTTCTAGTATAGTTCACTGATTCTCGTAAATTATTTTTTTCTCTTTCCACATCCATAGCTGTTTACAAAGGTTTCACAAAGGGCGCTATCAGCCTGTCCATCTCCTCGAATCAGTCAACTAGCATCACACAAGAACTATCCATCGCTACCAATAAAGCCACAGAGTGAATGGGAATGGTGTCAATGGACCTCTGACATTCCATCAAAGGCACTGCAAGCAACTGCTACTGCTAGACTGGAAGAACTAGCGACGCCTAAAACATTACCAAAGAGCCACCAGCCATCAAAACCAACCCAGTGGATCATATCTAAAGCTACACTACAGCACATAGCAACTGATAGGCTAGCAAAGTTAGCTCAGGCAAAGCAAGTTCCTGGCTATCAGAAGGATTACAATCCAAGGGCATGGGTTGTTTCTAGGGCGGCACTGCTTGCCCAGCCATCTCCACTAATAGAAAATCTTGCTAAACCAATACCGAGGAAATGCAGACAAAAGAAAGCTTGAACCGTATTAGGATAAGTAGTTTGGCAAGAGTGAATTTTAATTTTAAAAAAATTAAATAATAATAATTATGAATGTGTTATTAGTCTTGTTTTTGTTTCTTTCACTATCATCCATTATCACTATTTAAACATGATACGTTTTTAGATGGACGCTTTTTCTGCAGTTCCCAGTGGTTGGGATCAATCATGTTAATATCCACTGCTAAACTTTCTAATAGTTTAGGTACTGTGACTTCTATAAATGAGCCCGAATGACAAGTCCCTTCTATTGCCACAGCAACACAATGCTAGCAAAAAAATAATTATAAAAAGCACATGCCAATATTATCTTGGTATTGTATTACAAAGCATAACATCATGAATTTTTTGGCAGCATAAATCTTTGCTACACATTTTTAAAATTGTCATGCAACAGAAAATAATCATTACTTTGCGATCGATAAAGCTTTCCTCAAAGCTCCATTGAGTTTGCTCTATGCCATCAACAGACAATACAGTACTGCTACAGGAAGGAGTATCCTAATAAGATACATAATGTTAATTAATCGGGTATAAAAGGGGCCTACTGCTCCATATTTCCATGGTGACGAGGGGTCAAGGGTGAATTCCAGCCTCTGAAGACCGTGAGAAAGACCAATCCCTGTTGCTTTAATGTAACTCTCTTTGAGACACTAAAGAAAACAATCATTAATTATTATTAATAGTCATGACGTTATATTTTTAATTTATTAATAATAAAAAAATTACCCAGAAGCGATAAAAGAGTTTGAGTTTATCCTCTTCGCTACTTGGTGACCTAATCTGGTGCCACTCCCTCTCAGTAAACTGTCGTCTCATTGTAGTAAAGAACTGATCAAGAGACGCTATACCTCCTACACAAAAGAAGAGTCTTTAACCCTCTCTTCCTTACCGTATAGTGGGTTTGTTTCATGAAGGTAAACTTTTGTTTTCCATCCTCAAAATGACTTTCGTGAGGTTAAACATTCGTTCTGAAGACGTTAATAAGTTACCACGCCCATTAAAAACTGGAATTTCGTTTGGTTAATTATTCATTCTCCCATCTTGAAGAACGAAAAGAACGAAAGTTTAGCCTCACGAAACAAACCCGCTATACGGTACTCTTTATCTCCTCACTAGGTCGTGTGCAATCCATAACATCAACTCCAACTCTCATTCCCTCCTCTCCAGCTAGTACAGCATAATCTCCTTGATGAGACACGTTAAGATCTAAACCACACCCACCCAATGAAGGCTCCACCTATGACGATTAATAATTACAAGAATTATGGGAGCCGACCCTTTTTACCAAATATGGTTTCCCCCTCTCCGTTCTATCAAAATTGATCTCATTGTTTGTTGCGCCCGTTCTTTTAGCCGTCCCTGCTCGTAACAAAAGTCGACCAATCTATTGCAACTGCTGAATGTTAAGTGCTTGAAAGAGATCACGTGACACTCACCAAAGAGAGAGAAGCATCCTCTTTAAAGACAAATTGATTGATTCTCTCACTTTCTTCAGGTTGTATGAGGGACATAGCAACATTCCAGTCCTATAATTATTAAAATAAAATTACTAAATAATTCTAAAGTGATACTTCTGTTATAGTTTTCCATCTAGAGAGACTAACATACCACCTCAGTCCAGCCGCCATTTTGTGGGCGTGTCAATATCTGGGCGTGGCCACAGTGCCATTTTATGGGTGTGGTTCAGTGACATTGAGTGGCCATTCCTAGAAGAAGAGAAAGGGAGTGAAGTAATGGAGTCACACCAGAAGAAGCTTCTGAAACTAAGCGAGGAGAGTCTTATGAAAGAGCCTGAAGATGTGTTTGACTTGTTAGAAAAGATAGGCGAGGGGTAAGAGACTAGGAAGTGAAAACAGTGATCATTATTCTTTTTATTTCTTAATTTTATCTTTCAGTGCTTATGGTGCTGTATATAAGGCACTCCACAAGGAGTCTGGTCAGCTACTAGCTATTAAACAGGTTCCAGTTGATGCTGACTTACAAGACATTATAAAGGAGATTAGTATCATGCAACAGTGTGACAGGTAACATATAAGAGTATAGGGGAAAGGACAATTGAACTCTCTCTCTTCTTTCTCTCTTTTCCTCAGTCAATATGTAGTCAAGTATTATGGTAGTTATTTTAAGAACACGGATCTATGGGTAGGAATTTAATAAATGGTCATATCCTTCAATTCTTATTTTACTATCTCCTCTTCCTTTCTCTCCCTCTCCTTTCTTCCCTCTCTCTCTCTTCCTCCTTTATTAGATTGTAATGGAGTATTGTGGTGCTGGGTCTGTATCAGATATTATGCGTATCATAGAAAGACCGGTAAGCATACACACACACACACACACACACACACACAATGATGCCCCTATTTGTTGCTATTATGTCTTCACCACCCAGTTCACTTTGATGATATAGTAATGATCTTCATTTGATTGATAGGGTAGATAGTACGAGATAACTGCACACACACATTGGTTGACCTTAATAATCAAATAAAGTTGTTCCTCTTTTTTGTTATTTGTTACTGAATTACACTTGAACTTGCATGTACATGTATTTTATTAAGGCTATGTTTTATACATGTACATGTACATGTACTATTTTTCAATGGAGGACAAGATTAATGCTTTCTTTCCCCTCAAATTTATTTTTTATTAACATTTAATTAATTATTTATATAATTAATTAAATAAATTATTATTTATTTTTATTTTTATTTTTAGTTGAATGAGAAAGAGATTTCAGTCATAGTACAGTATGCACTGAAAGGTCTTGAATATCTTCATTTCAAGAGAAAGATTCATCGTGACATCAAAGCTGGCAATATCTTGTTAAATCTTGACGGACATGCCAAATTAGGTTAGCAGTCCGTGCATGTACATGTTGATTTTTACATGTTTTTGTGTGGGCGTGGATGTTGTTTGTATCATGCGAATCCAAATGTTTGTTTTAGTAATATTGTATTGTGGTATTATTGATATTGAAAATGTGTTCATTTACATGTATACATACGTGTAAATGTAGTTCATGTACATGTCTTTTTATTATGCTTGTGTCAACGTACACATACATGTACATGTACATACATGTACATATACATACGTGTATTTGAATCAATGAATTAGTTGTCATCTAATAGTGTGATGATCATCTTTTTGTACCTCTTTCTCCCTCCCTTTCTTCCTTTATCTCTCTCTCTCTCCCCATTCAGCTGACTTTGGTGTTGCTGGACAATTAACAGTAAGTTACAGTCTCACAGTATTAATTAAATGAATGATTGAGTGCAATAGCCAGTACATCCTTTCTGTTGTTTTGATTTCCTTAACAATATATGTTTAATAAACTTGAGCAATTATTGAGGGGAGAGAGAGAGAGAGAGAGGGAGAGGGGAAATAGAACCATACATAATGCAATAAGCTTCTTTCTTTTAATATACAAGAGATGAACATGTAATACAATGATATTTCTTTCCATAGGACACGATGGCAAAAAGAAATACTGTGATTGGTACGCCGTTTTGGATGGCACCGGAAGTCATACAAGAAGTCGGCTACGACTGTCTAGCGGACATATGGTCAATGGGTATCACCGCTATCGAAATGGCCGAGGGTAGACCCCCTTACGCCGAGGTACACCCGATGAGAGCGATATTCATGATACCCACTAAACCTCCACCGACCCTCAAACAAGCCGACAATTTTTCTAACGAGTTCTCGGATTTTATCAGTCGCTGCTTGGTCAAGAGCCCGGAAGAGAGGCCCTCTGCTACTAGTCTACTGCAACACAGGTTTGTGAAGGGAAACAAGAGCATAGACATTGTCAAAGAGCTTGTGCAGCTAGCGATGGCTAAGCTGGAGGAAGAGGAGGAGGAAGAGGAGGAAGGAGATGAAGACGATGAGTTTGTCACTGCCAGTAATACCATGATACAGAGAGGCTACCCCGACTCCATTATCATCAATGAGCCGACTGTCTCTGACCTGGGGACGCTAGTTATAGTAGACGATGATGAAGGAGATAGCACTATGAAACGTGAGTTTTTTTATTAATATCTGAATTTTTTAAAGTTGTAAAAATTTCATTAAAAATGGCCCAAGAGAATTTTCCATTTTTGAGTGTTTTACTAATAATTTACTGATTGTTTTACTGAGATATACTGATTGCTGTATGTGTAGGTGTCGACACAGACAAGGATTCCAAGGAGCCATACAAGCCGCACTTCATGCATCACTTCAATAAAGAACCTGATCACAACAAGAAGCAAGGAAACAAGAAGAATGCACATGTGGGACCTCAGAGTATCTATGCCTACTTTCCTGCCATACCCGAGGGGACGGAATTCAAGGATTACGTAAGTGTGTAGTGAAATACATGTACATGTACATTTTACATGTACATTTGTAAATTCAAAAGAGACTTAGTGTACTCTAATTTTGACGATAATTTTAATGCACATGTAGATTTACATGTACATGTACAGTCAGAGTTTTCCACAAAGCATGCAGGGATGTAAACATGAGATGACATACAAATAGCTATTGGAGCAACTTTAAAAATTCATAAAAAATTCAAATTTGATCGAAATCAGTTTAAACTTTCTACACAACATAAGAACATGTATATGTATCAGAAAAAATTACAAAAATGAAGAATTTTTTCCTAGTCATTTTTGGTGATTTTTGGCCGATGGCTCTGTACTTATAGTACAGGGTCTTTGGCCCAATTTTGGAGCAACTTTAAAAAATTCATAAAAAATTCAAATTTGATCAAAATCAGTTTAAACTTTCTACACAACATAAGAACATGTATATGTATCAGGAAAATTATAAAAATGAAGAATTTTTTTTTCTAGTCATTTTTGGTGATTTTTGGCCGATGACCCTGTACTATAGTACAGGGTCTTTGGCCTGATTTCGGAGCAACTTTAAAAATTTGTAAAAAAATCAATTTTGATCGAAATCAGTTCAAACTTTCTACACAACATAAGAACATGTATATGTATCAGAAGACTTATAAAAATGAAGAATTTTTACTTATCGAATTTTAGTGATTTTTGGCCAATAACCCTGTACTATAGTACAGGGTCTTTGGCCTGATTTTGGAGCAACTTTAAGAATTTGTAAAAAAAATCTATGCAACACAAAAAATGTATAAAAATATTAGAAATTCTCTGTACTTTACCTCTTCTTATCCTCATACTGCGATAACTGTCTCTCTCTCTTTCTTTTTTAGTTGAAAGGTTTAAATGATGATGAGTTAGAGGAACACATGACTCTACTTGATAAGAGAATGGACGAAGAGTTGGAAGCTCTCAGAAAAAGATACCACCAGAAACGCCAGCCTATACTTCAAGCCATTGATGCCAAGAAAAAGCAGCAATTTCGTTAGAATTATCATTATTATTATTATTATTATTATTATTATTATTATTATTACTATTATTTAAGTTCCATTTTCATATCACCTTAATTTTCATTATTATAATAACTCTCTTACCTAATCAGTATGCACCATTTTGTCTTTTTGTTATTATTATTGTTGTTGTTTGTATTAATGATGAATAAAGTTATGTAATGATCTGGCAGCTAGCCTACCTACACATGTATTCTGCTTGACTTCAATTTTGTGCAGAAAATTATTGTTCTTTTTCAATTTTTTGATTTTTTTCTAGTATGCGGAAAAGTAGTTTCCGTTTACTTCCGTGTCTCCAAAATACCTGGTTGCTATGGAGACTCAAACACTTGGATGTATCTATCTATGGCTCTAGAGTACTTGGTGTGACTACTGTAGCCTCTTCTTTCTTTCTTTTTGCTAATCAATAGACGCCATGCACGCTAAGCATCAAGGGTATGCCAATGAAACAAAGACATCTTTTTATATAACATTTTCTATCCCTTTTCTTCTATTTCTGCTTTTTTCTCTTTCTTTCTCCAGTCCCCTTGAAAGCTACAACAGTCTCACTGATGAGAATTTGGCGGGTTATTTCGCCTCCTCTTCGAGGCGGCACTACCTCCAAAGGATGGGGCTGGTAAGAACATTTACAAAAAGACTTCGATCTTTTCCTTTCTCAAGCAGATCACTCAAGATGGCCGTGTCTTGGATGAGGAGACTATCCGTCGCTATCATGCTAGGAATGAGCACAGGGCCAGGTCAAAGCATGCAATGTCAGAAGCACTTGTCAATAGAGTCGTTGAGCTAGAGGTCAGCTCAAAAATTCTGTGTAACAACTAAGTAGTAGCTAGATACATTTTATCTGCAACATGGCACACATGGATTGGATCTGTAATTGAAATTGCTGTAATAATTGTCACTTGTAGCTGTGTGGTGTTGCGCATGAATCTGTAACTTGATGATACATGTGCACACCTTTGCATGTTGCTTTATGGTCTCTTTTTTCTAACAGAAAAAACGCCGTGCAGTGTTAAAGAAAAAGATGGAGACACTCTCTAAATTGGAGCTAGCGGAGAAAGTAAAGGTAAGCTTTTATTAGACTGTACATCATTTCAAAGTTTATAAATGTTCTCTTGTTTATCTAGCATGAAGCTAGTTACCCTTTGGGTGTGGCTTTACTCGGTCCCTCAAACTCATGCCCACCTCAGCTCTCGTCGACACTAAAGAAGCGCCAGGAAGAACTGGGTCTCTCGGAGAAGCAGTTCCTCCAACTGAACCACATGGTTAACACCACAAAGTCTCTACCCACGTCTTATATCAGTCCTTATGGCAGAGTACATCCGCCAGTACCCCCTCCACCTACAGCAGCATCACGTACTACCAACATGCAGATTAGGAGTGGGCGTATAAGAAGACCACAGGTACTTTATAGTGCACTGATTGTACTTTAGAAATTCAATGATCAATACAAGTGCTATATGAAATGTACATCATTTACATGTAGTTTTAGACCCAAGCAATATAAGCATGCATGCATGATAGCAAGGTCTTGTTTGATACTGTTGCTCTCTTGTTTCAGACCGCCCCAGCTGTTTCTGAGATCAACATGCGAACTAATGTTGAGCTGAGGTTCGAGTATTTAGGAGGTGGCATCAAATTAATGTCCGTTTTTGATCCACGCGTGTACGTTGAAGTTCATCAGCAGCACTGTGGTGGCAACAATATTTGCTTATTTAAGGGAAAACTCCTGGCTAAAGGTTAGCTTCACTGTTATCTAAATTTCATTGGAAATTCCTTTATTTTATGTATTTCTAAACACAGATCAATTTACTGTAACTTCAAAGAGACACTATGGAATGCCTTTTGGGATGTCACTCTACGTCAACGGACTCATTAACTGTCGCATCAGCTCTTGCTGCGAGTACAAACACAAGCAAGGACAGGTTTTGGGCGGTGGGAAATCCTCCGCTAACTTTCGCCTCTTGAAAGTCGAGGGAGGTCAGCCGTGCTACCTCTGCAAGTTTGGACATGCAAATCAGTCAAAACTCTTCCCTCCAACATTTAAACCTAAAGTATGCAGATATACACCATAATTACAGTGTAGCTATGATAAAAGGCTACTTGTACTTGTATGTTTTGCAATTCTAAAATTTCAGCTCCTCGGCAAACTCTAAATGTTATGTAGATCTTTAAATGTCTCACTTATTAACGCTATGATGTATTTACAAGCTTGCAGTAATAATAACAACAAATGAGTGTACATGTATAGCAATAATTAATTACGTCGCATTTATTGTAATCTTCGCTTATCAATGCTTCTCAAGTATTGATAGGGTATAACAATTAATGTTATTTTTCACTAATACTCGCTATTTTTTAAAATGCATTTATTATGTTTTGAAGACTTTATTATCATTGTATAGACTACGCCTGTGAAGACAACAATGAAAATTGAAGAAGAACTAAAGACAAATGGAAAGGAGGAGGAGGAAGAAAGAGTGGAGGATGGGAAAACAGCAGAGGAAGAGAAATTGTCAGATGATGAATACGATGATGAAGATTTCGAACAAGAGGATGATGACGAGAAAAAAGATGATGATGAAGAAATAGATGGACAAGAAGAGGAAGAGAGAGGAGAAGGAGGAGAAAAAGAGGAAGAAGAAGATGAAGATAAAAGGGAAGAAGAAGGAGGGGGAGCAGGAGGGGAGGCTTACTCATCAGATTTTGATTCACAACAAAGTCAAGAAGAAGAAAGAAAATCCTCGAAAGCATCTACACTCACTTCTCTCTCCCGTGCATCACAAAACTCACCCTCTCCACCACCACCTCCTCGCAGTGAGAGCACGTCAGGATCATCAAAAAGTAGTAGTAGGACTCCTTCTCCGTCTCACAAGGAAAAAGATGAGCCTGTACCTCTTGAAGTGGCCAAAGAGGTTGTGAATGTTGAAGAGAATGGAGAGCTGTTTAATGCCATGGATAAGGAAGAGATAATAAGAGGGAAAGACAAAGAGAAGGAGGAAGAGAAAGAGAAAGAGGAAGAGAAAGAGAAAGAGGAAGAAAAAGAGAAGGAGGATGAAAAGGAGAAGGAGGAAGAAAAGGAGACAGATAAAGATAAGGACAAGGTGGAAGTCAAGGCTGACAAAACTCAAGAAAAAGTTGAGAGCCTTCAAGACATAGCCTCAGAGACAAAAGTGGCAAATAAACCTCCAAAGGATGGTGACAGTGATAGCCAGTTGTTATCAGATGATGCCATGATAAAGGAATATCTTAATCAAGTACTGAGAAGAGCTCAGTCGTACATCAGTAGAGAGCTAAACATTGCAGAATTGGATGAAAATGATGAAATACAAGAAAGCAAGAATGAATTCATTCCTGCTACTGAGAGTGATGGAACTGACGTATCTTTAAAATTTGTTTCTTCCAAGCAGAATTCACCATCTTCCTCTTCTTCCTCTTCCAGTGTTTCTTCTACCCATGGTATTGAGAGTGGAAGGAAGAGTCGGTTGGGAAACCACAGTAGCAAAGAGGAAGAGAAGAATACTGACGAGTCAAGCAGAGACGAAGCGTCAAAACCAGATGAGTCGTCAAGTTCTAGTTCATCTCAGACTGACGTCAAAAAGAAATCTCCTTCGTCACGCCCAAGCTCTGCATCATCCAAAGACAATGAAAGAATTGAAGAAGAAGAAGTACAAGTAAAAGAGTCGGAATATGTTGAATCCTCTCCTCCTCTTCCTCCTCCTGAACCTAATGAAGAAGGAAATAAGAATGGTTCTGTTAGTAAATCTTCTCTTCATAAGAATGGTTCTGTTAGTAAATCTTCTCTTCATTCATCTTCCTCTCAATCATCTTCTCGTATTCAAAAATCTACCGAAAAAGAAGAGACACCCGAGACAAAGATGGAAAATGCGACACCTCCTACTTCCCCTCCTAATGACTCATCTCCTCCTCCTACTGAAGTAGAAAATAAACAAGAATCTGAAGAACAAAAAGAATCAGAAGTCTCAGACAATAACCATTCTTCTGAGTCAGCAAATCCCGAAGGTGCAAAAGAGAAAGAGCAAATAGTTTTAGATGAGGCACCTCCTGCACAAATAGAAAATGAAGTAACAGAGAAAGAACCAGACAAGGAGTCTGTGACTAGTGGACTCTCTCCTCAAAAAACACCAGATCATGAAGAAGCAAAGCAGACAGAAGTTGTGGATAGCAAGCCTTCTTCTCCTCCCCCTCCTCCTTCAACCTCATCCACAGCTCCTGAGCCAGAAGACAATTTTAAAAAGAAGGAAACTCGTGTTCGAATAGTTTCGCCTCCTCCACGTTCACCTTCTTCATCTCATTCTTCTTCTGCTCCATCATCAGACTCTGATATTAATAAAGATAAGTTAGCCAAAGAAACAAAAAATGAAGAGCAGAAACAAGATACTCAAGTAGACAATGATGAGACTGGCCCTACAGAGGACTTCGCAAAAGTAGAAGACAAAGCAGCTAGTGAGGTAGCTAATGAGGAAACTGCATTGGTTGATAAAACAGAGGAGAAAGGGTCTGTGGAAGGATTAGAAGAGAAAGGAGGGCAACCAGTAGCTGAAGGTGAAGAGAAAAACAAACAAGAAGAGGAAAAATCACCCGTGGAATTGAATGAAGGTGAAATGGAAGAAGTAAAAGAAGAGGCTAGTGGAAATGATAATGAAGGGCCAGAGGGCAAAGAAAAGATTTCAAACTCTGAGGAAAGAAGCAAAGAGCCAACTGATGAAGGAGCAATTGAAGAAAAGACTGATAGTGAAGGTAAAGAAGGAGAGAAAGAAAGTTCAGTTGATGGCTCAGCTCAAGCAGTAGAGCAACTTGAAGCTGATAAAAAGGAGAATGAAGAGAAATTGGAAAGCAATGGACAGGATGGGCCAGTAGAATCCAATACTCAAAATGAGGTCAAGGCAATGGAACTAGCAGAGTCTTCAAAGGAAAATGAAGAAATAAAATCAAACAGCAATGAGGTTATACAAGAAAACCAAGGAACCACAGAACTTGGAGAGACTGAGAAGAAAGAGGCAGTGGATGATGGAGCTAAAGAAGACCAACCTAGCAAGACAGAAGAGGAGGAGGAAGGAAAGTCATCTAGACGAGGATCAGAAATCATCTCACAAATTGATCGAAATAAAGATACTGTTAATAATTCTGTAGATACCAATCAAATAAAAGATCAAGATGAGAAAGGTCAACAGAATCAAGATACTAGTACAAATTCAATCGAAAGTAAAAAACAACCAACTAATTCTTCTTTGTCTGTAAGTACTTTCAGTGTATAGTCTTTAACAAAAATAATTATTTAATTATTATTCACACAATCAAAACTTTGCAATTATTATGTCATTATTGTTATAATTATAATTATTATTTTACTAATATAAGCTTTACAAAAAAACAGCAATCGTTAGTAACCTACATGTATTTGTCATGATTTGTTTTTTAAAAATAATTATC